GGAAAGAAGACAGTTATACCAGAACAGTTTTGGTGAATTCAGTATCATTATTAAAAACTAGGTTTTGTAATGGCATTTTCACATCATAATAAAAATATTTTCTGTTGATACATTATTCTGCAACAAATTTTTACAGCTGAAGAAGTCAAGGAGAGCACTGAAAAGACCTAACATTGCTAATCTTATTGTGGTGGGTTGACCTTGGCTGGCTGACAGACACCCACCCAGCCGCTCTCTCACCTCCCCTCCTCAAGAGGACAGGGTGGGTAAATAAGCTGAAAAAACCCATGGGTTGATATAAAGATAAGGAGATCACTTACCAATTGCCATCATGAGCAAAACCAACTTGACCTGGGTAGATTTAATTTCACTTGTGACCAGTTGAAATAGATTTGGATGGTGAGAAACAAAGACAAAAACTAAAACATCTTTCCCCCACCTTTCTCTTCTGGGTTTAACTTCCCTCCTTCATTTCTGTCTCCTCTGCCTCACCCTCCCCAGGTAGCACAGGAGATGGGGAGTGGGGGTTGAGGTCAGTCCATAACAGCTCCTCTCTGTCATTCCTTCCTCCTCGTGCTTTTACCCTAATCCAGTGTGGATCCTCCATGGGCTGCAGCTTCCTTCAGGAGAAAATCTGTTCCTACTTGGGCTCTCCACAGGTTGCAGTTCCTTCAGGGCATGTCCACCTGCTCTAGCATGGGGTCCTCTGTAGGCTGCAGTGTGGATAACTGCTCTGGTGTGTTCTTTCATGGTCTGCAGGAGGACAACCTGCTTCACCATGGTCTTCTCCATAGGCTGCAAGGGAATTTCTCCTCTGGCACCTGGAGCACCTCCTCCCCTCCTTCTCTAGCCTTGGTGTCTGCACCAAGGCTTTCTCTTTTTTTTTTCCCCACACTCTTCACTACTGTACTTTTGTTTTGCCCTTTTTTATATACATTTTCCCCAGAGGCACCACCACCTTGGCTGCTGAGCTCAGCCGTGCCCTGCAGTGGGTGGGTTGTTGCTGGCTGGAACCAACCGTGACTGGCACAGGGTAGCCCTGGCCTCTCCTCACAGAGACCACCCCTGCAGCCCACTGCTGACAGCAACTGCACCCAGTGCAGCTATTTACATGGAGTTGAATGATTTGGACCTCCTTCTCTCTACAAGCTTAGAATTTATTATCTTTCCAACATGTACTTTTAAAAATGTGTCATATCCTGTTCACCTATTTTAATATTGGAAAGGTGTCCAGTATTCAGGAGAGAAAACCTCTTTAAACCAAAATTTCTTCACTTGTGCAAAGTTAGTCCCAAAATCGTATCACTGAGTCCAATTTGTGAGATTTAAATCAGATTGGCAGAGTATGTCAAAAACAAACATCAGGATACAAAGTGAACAGGACAGAATAAAAACCTTTTTTCCAAGTACCAGCTATCACAGCCTTCATATTTTTTGGAGAAGGATGCTGTTCTTTAAGTCCCCACATTTCTAGTGCTGAACCTGCCTAGGGTGTTTATGAAAAGGAACTGTAGAGTGGAAAGAGAATTAGAGAGTTTTAGATAAAATTTAATTTATTGTTTTGTGTGTATCGGGACATTCAGATCCTGGCTGGTGAGGTGGCCATGAGCCCTGGGAGTGCCAGTTTTGCTAGACTGAGGTTGCTAAACAGATTTTTAATTGCAGACATGTCTAAACTTTAAGACAGTTAAATTTGAGTTATAGTTCCCTTTTCCTTGTGGATATTTATTTGATCAGAATAACGTCTTGAATATTTGACTTTCAGTTCTACTAACTCTTTTGACACTTCCTTTTTTTCTTTAGAGAGACCCTTTGAAACCAGTGCACAAAAACCAGGACATGTGCTCTCATTAAGAAATGTTCTTGCAGAATTTAAATATTAGATGCCTGAAGCTTTTACTTTTATTTCTTTTGACTGAATTCTTAATTTTAAAATTTCCTTTCTTATATATAGTATCAATGTACTAAGGGTTTTTTACCCTTCTTCTAGGATACTGATCCTAATTATTAACAGTGTAGTCACTAGTGTCTTGTGGCTCAGCTACAGCTGCTTTGTGAACCAACTTTTGTTTTTATTTGGATTTCAACACAGTAGTTTCTCATCTAAGGCATGCTAAAACTAGGAAATACATAGTTCATGTTTTGCCAGATTTTAACCTATACATTTATTCTTCTGAGACACTATACCAATCTTTTTATATTTGAGTGGCTTGTTTTTCTCAGCATTAGACATTCTTTAGTGTTTTTCACAGTGAATCTGGTACTACTGCTGTAAACACTAAGCATATATTTCTGTATCTCAAGATCTATATTGAGTTGTTGGCATGGATGTTTGTTAGTATTAAACTTAGTTACCATACTACTTTGTTATTAGTTTTAGAGGGGTTTTCTGCAAAGTGTGTAGATTGCTACTTTACTTACAAAATTTTATTTAATACCAATTGGTTTTATAATATTTGTTGTCAGTGTTGTTTTCTATTTTCAAGCACTGTATCAAGCTTTAGTTCTTACACAGACCTTCATAACTTTTACTTTTGAATGTGTGCTTTTTTGTTTAAGCTTAGTGGATTAAGCATTTACATTACTCCTGAATGCTAATTGCATATTACCTTTCAGTAATAAGTAAATAATAAGAATCTTATTTATCTTAAATACCAAATTTTCATATTCGTGCATTTACTATTCTGTAAAGGGGCCTTCTTTTTTTAAATTGCTAACTGAAATCTGAATCCAGTTAAAGCAATGAAGATAAATGCATTTATACTATTTTGACTGCTGTGTATTGAATTTTTTTTAGCTGTTACCTTGCTTTTCCTAACTCTCCTTTAAAATTCTTGTCTTTTTCAGAGATTCTTAGAATTACTAAGGCCTTAGGAGATAGACATAAGTGATATGACCTGAGAGTGTAATCTGTGTGAGATAATACAGTTTAAAAAATAACTACTTTTTCGAATATTCTAATCACATATTTAGTATCATACTGATAAGCATTTTAAATGTATTATATTTTACTTGTTTCATAAATAGCTGTAATGCTGAATCCCTGATCTTTCCATTGTGCATTCTTACAGGTGCTTACTAAGGAATTTTATAGTCTTCAGTCTTCTAGTGAAGCACGCATTATTGAACTTCAGACACAGAATTCTGAGTTTCAAGCAAGGCTAGATACTTATGAAAAACTTGAGAAGGAGCTTGATGAGATAATACTGCAGACAGCAGAAAGTAAGTTCTGTCACACATTATATCGTATCTGTAGGTGTTTCTGGCATTCTCACAAGATGTCTTGTTTCTCATGGTAATGGGAAAGTATTACAGTGCTTGTCATTCTCCCTCTTTATGCCTGATAATTAAGATGCAGTAATTATTTTGATAGAAAATACTAATGACTGGTTTATAAATGTATTTGAAAATATGTAGCAAATAAAGATTAATTTGGGCATATGGATATTAAAAATCATCTCAGCATTTCTTTCCTTAATTTCTCTTTTCCGTATCCTAATCATTCAATATCATTAGATATGGGTTTTTTAGGATTTGAATACCAGGAGACCGTCTTTGTTAACGATGATTACAGGTTTCTTACACAGTACAGTGATTAGTGTGAATTTTTGAATTAACGGGCCGGGGGGGGGGATGCTCTTCCTTGCGTTGAATTAATAATAATTAGACATTAACTAGTTGCTTGTGGCAGATCAGTCTGTTCCAAGTATAACCCCTGGATTAAATTCAGGCTTGATTACTTTTGAAAATTTTTGCCTCTGATTTGCAAAAATAACAATATCTGTTCTCAAACACAGCAAAATTTCTGTGAAATCTCTGTTGATTTGATTCTCAGCCTAAATGAATGCACAAAGTCATTTCTAATTTGAAACTAAGACTCTAATCTTGAAGTCCTTTTGCTTGTAAGTAAACAGAGTAGGACATTTTAAGATTTCAAATGAATTCATGTATCTTCTTGTCCTTTACTTTTTCTGTGCTCCTCAAAAAATAATTACAATTTATAAATAATTTATTGTAGGTGGAAGATCATTGTATAAACTTTATATATAAACAATAGTGTAAAGCAAAGTATGTATTGCTGAGATGCAGTGTTGTCTGGGTATCTTTAGTAATTAGACTGTACATACTTCATTAATTTTATACACTACAGCTTGTACTTGTTAGAATGGCACGGCTAGACAGAGGTTCCAGTCTGACCATAAGCACGTGTGCTACATACACGCTTACGTTTTAGTCAGTAACATGTTTTTTGCAGTATATGTATAAACTCACCTAAGGAGTGTCTGTGTATTAATATAGAATTTTTGGACCTTACCTTCATTTTTTCCAAGGAGAAGATAGCGTTCAGAATGCTGTTTTTTGTTTACACTGATTTACATTTTCTTATGCATCTTGAGAGGGTAGTAAAGTTTTTTACAGAACTAAGTAATCTTAACTTCTTCTTAAGTACATATTTTAATTAAAATTTATACTCTGTGCTACAGAACATGACTTAAAACAATGAAAGTTTACAAATGGACTGTTTTGTTAAAATATAACAACTTTATTTTCTAACAAATTTATTTTCTTAATTTTCTTTTTGGAGAAAAAAGGGAGTTATAGTTCAATATTTCAACATAATTTCTATTTAATAACTAATGTTGGAGGTTTTATTATTATTATTATTTATTATTATTAATTATAATAATTTGATATTGAAAGCTAGGAATAATACTAATGCAGACTTAATTCCACCACCAAGGTGTATTTCTGAGAAAAATTAGGAGAAATATAAGCATTTATTTTTTAAAAACACTTTGAAGGAGAACACAGTCTTCCCCCTGTGTCTTAAATTGTGTCCTGGTATTTACATGTTATAAATAGCTAAAGGTAGAAAAATAGTTGAAAGAAATAAAATATCATTTTTCAAATTTAATGTGTTCTGGAAATACTTCAGTCTATCTTCCATAGAATAGAATTGAGGCTGAAGCATTGTATGGAAGACAAATAGAATTTTCTGTGGACTTTGGTGAGAGTAAGATGTTATTCTTCAGTCCTGTGGTCACCTTCTTTACATTTCAGTACCAAGTAATGTTTTTCTTCTCCTTTAGTTATGAAGCCTCTGCTGTTTTGCAGTATTTGGGGTGCTGGTGGGGGTTGAGTTCTCTGGACCTTTTAATAAACTGTTTATTTGCACATGTGAGGTGGCTTTTGTCATATAATCATATAAGCTTTTTATTTTTTTCCTTTGGGGAATGTGCATGTGGAAGAGATCACTGAAATGTGACTATTATTCCCTCATCATTATGCCTCACTTTATTAATATTGAAATAACATGAAGCAGCCTATTCAGGAAACTATCAAGAATTTATGTAGCCACTCCTTATATCATCTGAGTGGTTTCCACATGAATAACAACAGTAAACTTTCTTGGCATTTGTGTTTTCTTCCTTTTCAGTGTAAAATTTTCACTTTGGAGTATTTTTGTTGTAGGCTAATTGTTTGATTTTCTTGCTTCCACTGGTTAGTATCTTTTTCTTAAAAGGGTTGAACCTTTTTGTATCCTCCCAATGGCACGTTTTTGTTAAGTAATGTAAAAGCTGTCATTAATAAGTGTCCCCTAACTTGTAAAATGTGTATTTTACACCATAGTCAGGTGAAGAGCCTGGAAAGACATAAAAGAAGCATGCACTGATACAGAACATTACTTTGACTTGATAGCTACAACATTTCTGATATTTTTTGTGTTTGTCTTCACCATGGACACTACTGACAGATACGAATTTGTAGGGCAGGATCTTACTAACGTTTTTCTGAGACAGACAACATTGAATTTGTAACCAAAAAGAAGGGTTATGACAAAGGCAGGTTAAATTATTTTTTATGTTTTTCTGAACCAGAAGTATTTAAGGCACTGGAGAATTCCCTGTCATAACTAAGACAGCCTTGAAAATCTGACGTTCTGGTGCCTTTGGGCTGCCATACTAGTAAACTTTTTGTGTCATACTTACTGGAATTTCTGTGTTGTTCTTTGTGTAACTAGATACGTGACTTTTCACAAGTGCTCTACTAGAGGCTTTTCTCTTTCTAAATGTGTTTTAAGAATCTGTGTTTAAAATAGCATTAAAAGGGTATTAGACAAGTGATGAAAGAAGCCATAGCTTTGTGCAAGTTGTTGAGAGGAGAATGTATTTCTGGTTTTGAGGCACTTGAACATTAGCAAAGATGAGTCAGATCGGACTGTCACGTCACTTCCGAAATTTGTTGCTCCTGCTCCCAACTACTCGATTCACCAAAATGGGTGTGTGATGCTGGGCTGGTGTTTGCTTGTTCTCCCTCCTTCTCTCGCACTGCTGCTGCTCTTCCTTTCTCTTTGTCCCCCTTTGCACCTCTTCTCCATCCCACTCTCTGCCCTCGCCTACCTCCCGCGTACGCACTTTTTCCTTTTTTTTTCTGACCCACTTTATCTTACAGAAGAGACGAAACCTGAATTACACAAGCTGAAATATTAAAACCTGTACACATTTTAATCTTGCTGCTATTGAGATTTCTTTTCAAAGTAATTCCAATGTGTGTTAAATCCTTAGAAATACATTTTCAGAAATCTATCATCTATGGAGGCAGAGATTATTCTGAATGTTTTTACTTCACATAAAAATAAGTATTTAGCTTACTTATAACTTTATATATTTACATTATATAATCTTAATTTGCTTAGAATTTAATGATAGGTTAAATTTGCTTTTTGTCAGATGATTATCTGCCAATAAATATTTAGAACTGTACATAGTTGTTCAACTTAGAATACTTAATTGTACTATAGCATATTGTCTCATAAGCAAAGTCTGCTTGTAGAGGAAAATCAGTTTTTATTTTGTTATCACAAATGACATTAAAAAGGCCAATGGGTAATATTAATTAAGTGATCAACTACTTCATTTGTGTATTCATGAAGGGTTTTAGTTAATATCTGAAGTTTCCAGATTGTTGTTGATATGGTGTTAGGGATATGCAAGTGACATAAGGTCATTGAACCTTTGCCAAACAGTGGCAAAAGTGGAAGCTTTTCTCAGTTCTGCTTCTGTGGAGTTGCTTGTTTAAGCCCTGAGAGAAGCACCTCAGCACAGACAGTTGCTGTCTGAT